CAGCCCAGATTTTCAGCTGCTTTTTTCTGGTCAACATTCAAGCATAAAGCTTGAATTACTTCCATAAGATAGCCAAGCACTGGGCACCCTCTCCAAAATCGTAGGCAGCTTCTTTCGCTTGTTTATTATTGTAGGAGAGTTGATAGTACCACAGTCTCAACCATGGTGATAGCATCCCACGTAAATATGAATTCTGCATGGTGCAGTATGTCTTGAGGGCATTGTACTATCTGATAACATGTTATATGGGTCAAGTTATGCTAGATAATATCCTGGAAGGCACACATGATATAGCTATTCTGGATTATTACCTTTTTTTTTTTTTTAAGTTTATTGTCTGTAAATAGTCTGCAAAGAATAATTCTCGTGGGAACCGTTAGTTGCTTGTTCATTCATGGTAAATGACTAGAAGTTGAATCTGACACTTTTTCAAAGTACTGAGACTAAAACCCCACGTCCATGTTTCCCTACCGTCATTCTCCAAGCTCAGGATTCTGATCTTCGTTGAGTATGTTATTTTACTGCTTATTCTTTGCTTATCTATCTAGTAACCTTGACAATCATTTATTGTATCAGAGCATCTACTGATGGATTTAGGGACTGCAGCTCCAGTTTAGGGTGGGGAGGGCAGTTTTAAACTTGCAAGACTCAGTAAGAAAACAAACTCCAAATAATTCCTGTTTTGAAATTCACTTGGACACTTGGGACCAAAATTGTCAGTCTCTTGTTTTCTTTAACTGAGTCTCATCTGTTGTTCTGCTATTGAAATTGCAGTTATCACTCTCCCCTGAGGAGGGGAGAAAGGGCTAACGGAAACCTTTGGCAGTGCTTCAGTTGCAGGAGATATCAGTTAAAACCTTTCATTATCCACACGTAGCTTTTTTTTTTTTTTCTTTCTTTCTGTGAAAAGGTCTTTAGGGAAGGCAACATCCCGAGGTCACATCTCATAAATAGAGGTGCATTTAAAAATCAAACTTAGCTGGAGGTTTTGGTTTTGTTTTTGCAGGGATTTGTTTGTTTAGTCATTTATCTCTCTGCTGCTTGTTTCTTTCAGACAGGATAATGTAATTCAGAACATTTTTATTGCTTAACCTCTGAAAAGCTTGTCTATGCATGGTCTGGAACTGAAATAACTGAAATTAGAAGTAATTTAACACCTTTAGTTATTTTAGTATAAGCCTTTATGCGAACATACTCTTTCATTTCTGATTATGAGTATCCTATTTCAGTTTAACATAGCTGTAAGTTAAATCAAAACAGGATATGAATAATCTCGAAGGAGTAAATTAGGTACAATTTTAGTTATTTCAGTTCTAGTCTTGTGCAGATAGATAGATAGATAGGTTAGTCCTGAGTTAGGGTCTTTCTTGACACCTGATTGTACTTGGTGCAATAAATCACTTGTCTCAGGCCAGGTGTTGGTGAAGGTGTCCACATTCAGAAAATCAATTGATGCTAATTATCACCTTTAGGGGGTAGTGTCCTTGTGGAGGTTAAAGGGCAAATAAAAATAGAAATTCTTTGCTTCTGGCAGTCAGGTGGGGTCAGGTTTTCCTGTGGTTTTTTTTTTTTTTTTTTTTTTTGGTCACAAGTAGGAAAATATCCTGTCAGGCTAATGCTGTCCACCAGAATGAACTTTAAAAAGTTATAATCCAAAATTTTATTCTCTCCCTTATATATCTATATAATTTTTTTTTTTTTTCTTTTTTTTTGAGAACTTAGGGCACTGAAGGTAATTGCTTTATGTACAAGTCTGGCTGATATTCAGGTTAACAGTGTATTTATTGTTGGTAGGCGATGGTAGCAACCCTTCTGGAAATAAAGCTTTTCTAACAATAAGTATAATTGTGGTAAAGATATTCCTGATAATAGGAAGGAGCAAATTGTAATTGTAAAAAATGACAACAGAGTTGAGTAATTTTAGCACTTGTCCTTCTGCAGATTTTTGTTGTTTTTAAATCAAATTCTGCTTCTCCACCAAGATATTTCTCTTTGTTTTATGACAAAATTGCACAAACACAACACAACTCAGGTGTTTGTCTAAGCAAGGCTGTGATGAGGCTGGATTTTAAGGGATTTGAAGCATAATGTAAGCAGAAGTTGTATGTTGTGCTTTAAGGGGGGTCAGCTACTATATTCTAGCTTGTAATGCCAGTTGTACCAACAGGCTTAAAGCATTTCTGAAAGAAGTGACTTATTCATTTTACACCATAGAATGTTACTAAAAAGTTATTTTTTTTTATGCTGGTCAGGGTCACTGCCATAATATTGACCCAAATTCAGCTGCGTTATTGTGTTCTGAGGGTGAATGTTTCCTCCTTTGGTTTTATTTGAGACCTGGGAGCTCTCCCCCAGGCTTTAGTTCAAGGTTACAGGACGGGAACTGCTATGGGGAAGCTGCAGTTTCAGGCAAAACTTCACTTCTCAAGCTCCTGAGGATCTATTTGACCTTTTAAAGGATGGGGATGCACAGTTATCTTATGTGTATGGAGAGCATGTATGTAATGTATTTAAGTTATTAATATCGAACAGTATGGATTAAAAACTTCAAAAAGTGGGTTTTCTCAGAAGTAACCTAGACGTCTGGTTTTAATGTTGTTCAGCA